ACATTCAGAGAAGTTATTCACACACAATCAAATGAAATCACTGTCTGGATGCCATGTTGTCAAGTCCACAATTGTATTTAAATTATTGTTAAGCTACCCAAAAGAGATCATCCCCATTTGTATGCAGCAAAGTACAACAAAGTCTAAGGAAGAGGAGAGCACAAGAAAAAAGCAAATTCACAGTTCAGTTAAACCAATAAGAATGAAAAAGAACCCCATTGTCTTCTGGAGTTTTTTTCAAGTTCACACCTGTGTACTGAAGATCAAAATCTTGTCAAGAAAAAAATCTTCAAAGCATTGGAAAAAAAAGTGTCTCAAACACTGAACTAAAAATATTTAGTAATGCTTAATACCCAGCCTGAAAGTTAGTAAGACTATTAAAAGATCTTTCTTTAGCTGATTGGTTGTCTGATTTTCAATGCTACAACTTCTTGTGCAGATTCTCCTTTCATAACCTTTATAAACAGAATCTTTAATTTATCCATGATGCAAGCAAGTGCAAAAAAATAAAATAAAATAATAAGAATCCAATTACCTGCCCCTTTCAGGATGGTGTTGTTGTTGCTATTTTAACAATATAATGAGACACAACGAGGAGCATGAAGCCTATTCTGCTAAACAATAAAACACAGGACAAATAAATAGTTTGTGCCCCATTTCTCCACTTCAGATCACTGTTGGAGGCAGAATACAGGAACAAGAGTTATTCTTATGTCCTTAAATTACTTAGGAGACATGAATGTGGTAGGGAAGTTGCTATGCTAGGTTGGTTTTCTTTGTTTTTAAGCACAGAATACCAGAACAAACTGAACTGGTCTTGTACCCTGTTTCCAATGGCAGCAGACATTGCTGCTTGGAGCTGGGAAAGCCTTTATGAATAGTACTTCCTGATAACCTCCCAGACTCTAGCTACTCTGATTTTTAGAAGCCTCCTAATATGAATGTGGTTTCTTTATGTTAAAAAATTTCAAAGAATTTATATTCTGTTGATTTCTCCTCTCCTTGTCCCCATGTAACTACACTGTAGTCAGAATACACTGGCAAAAATCACAGAATCCTTGAACAACCTAGGCAGGGAGGGACCATTAGAGGCCACTTAGCCTAAGTTCATGTTCTAAGCAGGGTCACTAGCTTAAGGATCTCAAAGCCTTGGCCACCTGACTTTTCTGTTTCCAAGGCTGGAGATACCATAGCCTCTTTGGGCAACCAGCTCCAGACTACTAGTTCTCCCTACTACAGGAAGGTACTTGGTCAACATGTCAGCCCTGCAAGACCTAAGAATGCAGATAGCCTCCAGTTATTGAAAGTTCCTGACATTCAACTTTATGTGTTTGCTGTGCTCCTTAGGCCAGTATCCAGACTGCATAAAAGAGAGCAAGAAAGCAGTCTGAACCCTGTGGATAAATATAAGAAAGATAGATAAATGTAACATGCACTGAGTGGGTTAACCTGGATATGAAGAAACTAAAGAAGGGATCCTTGGGGTCCAGAGAATAAGGGGAATCGATAGCTTAGAATGTCTTCTTGCATGTCACATTTTTCTGCTTACTAACAAGGAATGCAAAAGTTCATGGATAAATGGGCTTCATGCCTTCCTGGAGCAACTCATCAATGTACAGGCCAATGACGGTAATTTTGAAATGAGTTAAGTTCCACCATTATTTAAACAGCAACATACTAAAAGTCCCAATACTGCTGATTACACAGGTGAATCCTTTGGTATTTTTAAAAAATGTTCGTAGCCCAGAATCAGTCCATTAATATTTAAGAGATGATGAGATTAAATATGTGGGATCATAAAACCTTAATGACAAAAGTATAATTTTATTAAAAAAGCTAGCCCCAAAATAATGTGAAATAATCCTTTCACTTAGTACTGAGGAGGCTTATAGCAGCGATAATGTGTACTAGCCAGAGAGAACCCAAAGAACAGAAAGAATGGTTAGAGGTACAGAGAACAGTTAGAGGTTCAGAAAACACAAATTCCAGGAGACATTGAACAAATTGAGGTTGTTTTATCAAAGATAAGACTGAGGGAAATCAAAACAACAATAGCAACAAAACCTGAGTCTTAGGCAAAGATGAAAGTTTTTTTTTTTTTCCCCTCTCCCCATTATTTCCATGGTGCAGAAGGCAAGAAGAAATGTGCTTAAAAGCTGGCAACTTTAAGAAAGCACTTTCTAGTGTTCCTGTTTTGGAAGTGCAAACAGATGAATATCAAACTAAGGACCATTAGCAAAAACTATATAACTGTATGAAGGCTTCTTAAAGGTAAAATTCCAAAAAATTAGGGTTACAGTCTCAAAATCATTGTGCATTAGATCTTTCTGCCACAACATTTTCCTTATTTAACTGTAAAGATGTTTATCCTCTCTAATGTTTTATTTTTTTTTTTTTATTATTATTTTTTCCAAGGCATTACACTACCACATTTTGTGGGTATGATTTCCATTTCTTTTTTCTACATGAATATTTGCATTTGCATAAAGTCAAACACTGTTTAATTGTTTAATTGGGCCAAGATTACAAATGATCATGTTCTCCTTGTATCTGATCTCTGAGGAGTGCATGTTCTTATTTAACTCTTCAGAGTCTTTATTCATCCAGACTTTATCAGCTATAATCTCTTAGTGCTTCAAACTCCCTGATAAAGATGAATAGCACTGACAATCTTAGCATTTATTTGCAGCAGAATTATTTCAAGCAGATTCTAACCAAGGATGTGATTATGTTATAGGACTAAACCAAAAATTCTGCTCAAGTCCCTGTGCATAATACTTCTCTCATCTATTGTCTCTTAAAAGTCAAATCCAAATGATAGGAAACAGAACCAGGAAAGAACAACAGACGCATTTTAGATTAAGTCCTTATTTTTAAGTATAAAGGCTGAACAACCTGTCCCTTTATATCTATGTACATTGCTGGAATCTAGCAATAACTGAATGATCATCATGATAATGGAAACATTTTTTTCTGTCCCTTTTTTTTTTTTCTCTCTCTTTTTTTTTTTTTTTTTTTTTTTCCCAACTATAGAACTGATTCTTGCCTGCCTTTAGAGGTGTAATTACCTTCACTTACACTAACTGAGACTTCTGTGGGTGTAAAATGTTTTAATTCTAATACTGAAAATAATGGGCTGAGTTAGATAGGAAGGCAACATTCAGTATGAAAAGGCTGTTATAATCAGGCTCACAGAGACACAGCTATCATGATGTTTCAGTAGTGTTTTGTTTCTTGTTTTAATTGAGCATTTCATTTTGATCCCAGTTCCCGCTTCTTGTGTCTTGTAGGCTTGCTGCTCTGAGTGCTTGGGAAGGCTGGTAGTGGAACTGAAGTCAGCTCTGGACACTCAGAATGAGAAAATAAATCGAAACTACATTTTGGCTTCACATGTACCCAAAGGACTCTCACCACCAGAAACAGTGTGACAGACCGTCACTGCAAGGTAGCTTTCGCCACTACCGGTTCAGTTTCCAAATAGCCTCTTCTCTTTTCTTGGGTCTCATTATTTTCACATGCTATTTGGCACTGAAGAAACAGGTGGAGAAACTGAACTTTTTAACAAAGAACTGAAAGAATTGGTGAAAAGAAAAGAGTTCCTCAAAATCTGTGCAGCTGTAAAGTAGCTAAGAGAAACCTGCCATACAAACTGTTCATAGAGTAACAGATATTTCTGCTAATTGTGACACTAACTTTCTTTAATCATCCTTAGAGCTTTAGCACTCACACAAGAACTGTGCACAAAACATTGTAAGCAGTTCTCCTGTGTGCCTGAGGAGCCTTCACAAACAACTTCCATACATGTAGTCCCCAGATGTCACCTGCGTTCCTGCAGACT